TGATATTTAAATTTTATAGTGCTTTATATTTTTAAAAGCTCTTATACAGATTAGATTCTTCCAGCAATCCCATGAAATTAAAAGGCATTCTAAAATATATTTTACAAATGAAGAGACAAGTGCTTTTCCCAAAGTTTAGCAGTAGAGTGAAGATGAACATGCAGATCTATAAATTTTGTGTCCTGTATAATGCCACTCCTTTCCCTGTTATACTTTGAGGTATTTTCCCAGTCATAGTTGGGTTTGCAGAGAAAGTCAGCTATACCCATCTTTCATGAGGAATGGTATGTGTGTGTGTGTGTGTGTGTGTGTGTGTGTGACCTGCTTATAGCTTAGTAAGTATATAGGTATCGTTTATAATAATAAAATAAAAGAAACAATAGTTACAACCTAACAAAGAGTAAAAACCAAAAACAGAAAATAAAAGTGAACAATGAATTCCAGTCCGTGCCCTTGGCATTTGAGTTTCCATACAACTTCATTGCTACAGTAGAGCCAAAAGTTAGTAAAAAATGATGTGTTGCTCTTTCAGTCTTTCAAGCACTCTGAATGCTAGCTCACTTTTATAATGCTTATAATTTGCCAGGTGTACTACCTGAATCATCTCATCTAACCCTGATAGCCAACCTATATGGTAGGTTCCTTATTATGGCCCCCATTTTTCAAGTGAAACACCTGAAACAGACAAGTAATATGCATGTGTCAGGTTGTGCATGAGACGTAGAACTAAATCTAGTATCTCTGTTCATCAAAAAGTCTAGTTGAACACTGTGCTTTTTTTAAAAAATTTTTTACTAAATATGATTTCTGTATGGAATGATTATATGTGTATTTGCAGCATTATCTTTCAACAGAAATGGGGACATTTGTTCTGGTTTGACATAATTTTTTATCATACTTTAAGGGCTTAGTACAAGGCAGATATACGTGAGATGTTTTCTATTTATCAAAGATAATCCTCACTTGAGAGATTGGTATTGTTTTGCACATTGACAGAGAATATGAGGCCTGGAGAAAGTAAGTGGCCTGTCCAAGTGCAAGGCCAAGTGAGAAGCCTGATTCCATGCTCTTGTAGAGGCAGCCCCTCCTCCACAGAAAATCTTAACTAAACTTCTTCAGAAATCTTCACCATAATTGATTTGAGGACTATTAACAAAAGAGTCTCTACAAAAGAGTTCAATGTAGGTAAACTTTCCATTTTCCTGTTACTCTATTTTAATTGGCCATTGGCCTGGAAGAAATCAGCACTCCAGGTGCTGGATGCCCCTTTACTAGTTTTTCCATAAACACGTATCCAGTAGTTTGTTGAAGTGTGTTTGCAAATGCAAAATGTGATTTAAAAAAAAAAAATCCTTTAACAAGGCCTCTGGCCTTGGGCTGGAGCTTCACAGAGATGTCTATATTTCTAAGATAAGAAAAGTTACCAATTGGGCTCCATGGTAACAGCTGGCAGGGAGAGGAAAGAAAGGGGAGAAGAAGCTCTCCCTTTCTCAGGTGTTGTCCTTGAAGGGTTAACTTGCTCAAAACAGAGGGGGGAAGCTGCTTTTGTGTGAACTTCTACAGACCAGTGAACTTCTGAGCCCCTTCCCTTACACGCTGGGTATAAAGTTCTGAAAGTACCTGAACTCGGGGTTCAGGGGATTAATTGATTACAGTGAAAGCTGTACCCTCTGGACCTGGCTGCAGCCAAATAAAGCTGTTTCCTGCTATCTTCAGTGCCCTGCCTCGTCTGTCCCCTATAACACTCTCTGGCCTTTCTTTGCACTTGACCTCTTGGTTGTAAGTGACAAAACCAGAACCAGAAATAAAGATGCTCAACATTTGGGATTTGCAGAATTATCCTCTCCCCACATGGGGGCCAGGAAGCTTTCATGTTTCTTAGCACATTTCATTAACCCTAAGTAATCAAATCCAGTTTCCCTTTTCTCATCCTGGGTCTTCATAATCTTTTTTGCTTTAATGGTTACATTTTGTATTTTAAATCAAATGCATTCTATCTGGTTATCTTCCATCTTTTTTTTGAGAGGATGGACTGTATTTGGTAATTTGGTTTTCAATGTGCATCCCTGTAATTTTGTTATAGCACAATGGAGCAATGTGATGTTACAAAGGTCAGGATCAGCTGTTTAACGAGGTAGAGTTAATCCCAAACTGATTCCTGTCTGTGCTGGGGATAAATATTATGTGCAGTGTAGAGAATGCTGGTATTTTAAAAATCCATGTGCTTAGGTATAATCCATTATAGGCTAATATTCAGGGACCAGGAGTTATTTTGGATAGGCATGACTAATTGTTTTGTTTATGTCTTTAAATATCATTGACAAAATATCTCAGACAGTATACATACAAATTTATTGAATTCAAAAGCCCCACTTTATCTATAGGAGATACTTTCCAAACTCAGTGGATGCCTGAAATCATGGATGGTACTGGAACCTTATATATACTATTTTTTTCCTATACATACATACTTATGATGAAGTCTAATTTATAAATTAGGCATAGTAAAAATTAACAACAATGATTAATAATAAAATAGAATAACTATACAGTATACCATAATGTTTGCCTTTGGGGAGTCATTATTAAGTAAAATAAGGGTTACTAGAACATAAACATCATGATACTATGACAGTTATAGTTAGTGCCTCAGTAACTACCAGGCAGGTAGCTGGCCCAGTGTGGATATGGTGTACAAAGAGATGATTTACATCCTGAATAGAATGAAGCTTGACAGTGTTAGATTCTACCACACTACTCAGAATGGCATACAATTTAAAACTTAGGAGTTGTTTATTTCTAGAATCTTCCTTTTAATTTTTTGATCGTGGCTGAGTATGGGCAATTGAAACTATAGAAAGGGAAACCTCAGATAAGGAGAGACCACTGCATATCCACACTGTTGCATATGTGTTACACATATGCACCAATCCCCCAAATTAAAAAAAGGAAAATAGAAAATAAAAGCCAGTTTAAGGGTAGGAAACCATAAAACTCTTCTTTGAAAACACACTTGTGATGGAATTAAACCACATTGATTTTCTTCCTCTAAAAATATTTAGCAGTGGTTTTTATTCTGTTAAGGGCAATTGTTTCCCGGTGAGGTAGTACCTGCCTGTGATCCCAGCAGCTCAGGAGGCTGAGGCAAGAGGATCACAACTTCAGAGCCAGCCTCAGCAATTTAGCAAGGCCCTGAGCAACTCAGTGAGACGCTGTCTCTAAATAAAATATAAAAGGATTGGGGATGTGACTCAGTGGTTAAGCACCCTTAGGTTCAATCCTTGGCTCAAAAGAAAAAAAAGGAAAAAAAAGAAAGAAAAAGAAAAAAAACAGAAGGAAGGAAGAGAAAAGAGCAATTTTATAGAAAATAGAAGGAGAACTAGAAGTTTGTGAGCTAAATAAATTTTGTTTTATTTTTAAGATGAAACTGATCAAAACATTATTGGCTTTTATTCAAATCCCCACCAGATCCCTAATATGCAAGCAAAACATGTAAAATAACTTTGGACCTGTGTTTAGACCTGTAATTTATTTGAACTCAATTACTTTTTGAGGAAATGTGGGTATGGAAGAGGAGCCTCTGTGTGTGTGTGTGTGTGTGTGTGTGTGTGTGTGTGTGTGTGTGGCGGGGGGTTCCTAGTGGGATTTCTCAGCTGGTTTTCTCACAATTACTCTGTTGTGGCTTACCCTACCTGATATTCTGGAAGAGTCAGCCCTTGGGGAGTGGTGTATAAGAGGCTGGGACTACACGATCTCATGGATAGTGAATTTTCATTCTATTTTACTCTAAACCAGAAGATATCCTGTGACTGTCTCCAGGATCACTCAGATTTAGTGTCTGAGCAAAGATATTGGATTTAGGTAATTGCAACCATTGGGTTATGTGGCAGTTACTTGAAATGAATGACCCAAATAGGCGAGACTTCAAGGTTATGGGTCATTGGAAATCTTTCCCTGTTTTTTGTGGACAGCTGCTCACTGGCAGGGGCTTATCCACACAGAGTGTATATGAGAGAGAGGGAGAGGTACAGAGAGCAAGGTAGGGGGGTGGGTCAACTTCTAAGCTTGGGGATAGTGTTAATTTCAGAGGTAGTTATGCAGGCATTGGAGGTGAGCCTCTTAGTGGTCTGCTTTTCATTCAGCTGGAGTTTTGGAACTATCCTAAACCTTAATCTCCGTCAAATATTTACATGTAAAAAAAGTGGATTTAAAATGTATGTGTTTTATTATATATAATTTGTACCTAAAAAGCCAAAAAGTTGTTAATCACTTTATTTACAACTATAATGTATTTATTTCAGTAGTATTACTTTTTGCACATTTCAGTTTTACTATGGATTCCTTTAGACCCCTTGATGTATCCCTAATAGTGAGTGGCAACAGTGGTCTGGGAGAAAACTTGCCTATTTTACCAGCCATCCTGTCTGCCAGTGGGCACCCTGACCTATACCCAGTGCTTTGTCTATGCCCATCCCTACCCTCATGTCTCTTTCTCAGCAAAAGAGTTTCCTAATGAATTTTTCAGAGTTCCACAGTACCTGGGGGTTTTCCATTCTTGCTCACAGTCACCAGCTTCTAAATCCCTCCCTGGACCCTTATGCTTTGACACACAGGTGGTCCTTCTCCTGGGACTATTTCAGAAAGAATTTTAAACAAAGAATTTTAAAATATGTAAAGCAAACTAAAAACCCTTAGATGGAAAAGAACGAGGCCAATACCGGGGAAACCATATCCTCAATAACAAAAACTGGGATCACATGGCTTTATTTTTCAAGCAGGGCTCCCCTCCTGATCTCTCTCTTAAAAAAAAAAAAAATCAACACATTAATGATGCATTTGCAAACAAACTTGTTTTTACCTAATGCTGACAGGCAGGCGGGGTGGGGGCAGGGGCTAGAGAAGAGAAAGAGAGGCAAGGCCAGGGGGATTGCTTTGCTGCACTGTCTTGGTTTCCCAGCCTCGGCTGATGGAATTATTGTTTATTTTTTTAATTTTCGAAGGTAGGCTGATGACAGCTGAAGAAGACTGTATTTGCTGAGGAGCAGCATGAGGGTAGAGAGGAGCAGAGCTCCTGAGGGAGACCTAATGGTTCCTCTCCTTCCTGCACGGAGATAAAGACTTATAATAAGCGTGTATGTTCACCATCTGGCTCTGCGCATGTGGTCCTTATGGAGGAGAGAGCAGCGCAATCTGTAAGTGATCAGGAGCCATGGCGCTCTCTCCAGAGAATCCACGATGCAATCAAGGTGACAGATGGCATGGCCACTGCTGTGGCCTCATGGAGAAGATCAAAATCACCTTCAATAAACTCTGACTGAAATGGGCATGAGCACCTCAAAAAAGTCAGTTTGTCAGTCAAACTGCCGCAGCGAGCTGCACTGGGGACACGCAGCGGCCAGCTCTCTGTTTTCAATCGTTTCCGTCTGACTGGGCCTGAACTATGATCTTTCTCAAATTGTCCTTTCTGTTTAGCTGAAGCAGGCCAGCAAATTGCCAGATTCATGGCTTTATTGAAGAAAATTGAAAACACGATGTCCTCAATTCCGGGGACGCACAGCTGGCCAGGGCTGGGACACCCAAGCGCAGACAGTGGACCCCACTTCTTCGGCTCAAGTTTGCCCAACTTGAGGGAGATTTTTGGACACGAAAATAAAATGCAAATGTGTGCCTGGCAGTAGTTATGTAAGGGGTGTTAGGTATCCAATAAAATGTTGTAGAATAAATAAATGATTGAAAAGAGAAAGAGGAAAGAAGGAGAGAAGTAAATAAACTTTCGTGTTGTTAGGATTAGGCATTTTCACAGCAGACCACCGACCTGATGGAACTGATATCTGTTTCCATTTCTATGCATATTTATTGCCCATGGTTTTCCATGGACTTGAAGCCTTGGGCATAAGGTCGATGGAATATAGATACATTATTTTGTCCTCAGCAGTTCATATGGAGTTGCAGGGGCAGCAAGTTCAGACAAATTTCCATTTCTGTTCCCCCCAACTGAAAAATTTCCAAATGCTCCAACTGCTTCTATATCTAGCAGGAAATGAGTATAAGCTACCTGCAGGAGAAGAAAAATATACTACTCTGCTTTGCTAAGTAAGGATACTGATTTGGGGGTCAAAGATGATGGATCTTAATGAAAGAAACCTCTCCCCCTCCATCTCCCTCCTCCTCATTTGGCAGAGTTCCACTGTTGTTCTTTCTCCCCAGCTCCAGGAACTGTGGATTGAAAGCAAAAGTCGACTTTCCCAACCTGGTGTTTTCCCCAAGTACCCAATATCTGCTGTCTGGTACTAGTGTTTTATATGTCTGCGAGGGAACTTATAATATTTCAACTTCCCATTGGTTTTCCTGTTGGAAACTGTAACCTTCTGGTTTTGTGTTCTTGCTTCATTTAAAATCCAAATCCTGCTCCTGCCTGTTCTTCATCCTCCATGTTGTAAATTATTTATTTTGATGATTCAGAAATATTTTATTGTTGGGTCCTGGATTCTCATAAAGTCATGATTCCTCTTATAGGTGCAATCTGAATGCTAATGTTCTGGTGCAGACATTTGTAACTGTAACTTAAGGGGCCTCATTCCTAATCTGTGTACACAAAATAAGAGAAACCATGACAAAAGGCTCACATTTTGAGTGACAGGAATGGGTAGCTCTTGAGACAGAACTGTCTTTTTACAGGGCATACAGGTGGGGCAGACTTATTCCTTATCACTGTGAGGCGTGGCTTCCTGGAATGGAAGACTAAATTTATTCAGGGGGAAATACTCACTGAATGCTGAATACCTACTAGGGGCCGGCTTTGCAGAATTAAGCAATAAGTCTCTGTAAAGGAAAACAGCCATTTTCATGGGCACGGTTCTCTGCCTGCCTGCCCTTTCTTGCCTGGATCTAGCTCTTGGGAAAAGGCATTGCACCCCTGTCAATGTTCAGCTCTTGTGCAATAGCAGGGCCCCATGTGGGCTGCTGGGAGCATGCTATTGTTACACAGGAGATCCTGTGTGAGATCTCATCTTGGCCTTTGGCTTTCTGTAATGACAGGTTCTGTAATGGACATGTTCATCAATGCTGCCACCAGGCGGGGTGGCAGGATGGGTCATTTCTGTTTTAGTAGCAGTTCATTCTCTCAGACTCTTGCTGCAAGGAGTAATGCTTCCAAAAGGCAATAGGCCCAACCCTTCCTTGAGGGAAAGATTGCATGGGGAGATTCAGCAGGGTCCAGATGGATAAGGTAGCTTACATTGCAACATGAATATTCTGAAACATATGTCCAGCATGATATTTAGTAATCAGAGCTTGGCCTAAATTCAGATAATTATGTTCTATCTTTTTGTGGCATGGACCATCATCTGATCTTTGCAAGTTATATAACCATATATTATTACTCTCCTTTGTATTTGTACTGTTGTTCCCGAATAACACATTACTTTAGAGAAAGCTTCTTGAGATAATGTTAAAAACTTCAGTCAGCAGAACTTATGCATGTGCATTTGCTATCTCAATTTATCCATCCATCTATTGTCTATCTAGACACAGGGGGCAGGGGTAGGATCTATAGATCTTTGGGTTCCACCTGCCCCTGGAATTCATAAAGGAGCAGCCACAGGAGAATGGCCCACAGTCACAATAAGGGAAGTGACTCCAAATGAACTAAGTAATTTTTAATTATGGAGGTTTTTTTTTTTTTTAAATAAGTACAACATTGAAGAAAAGGCTACACAGAAATTTAAACACCCCCACCCATGCACACAAAGGTGTGAGTATGTGTTGAGATTTCTAGTGAGATGATAGAAATATTCAGATTCTTTTTCCTGTTTGGTGAGCTCTTGATTACTCCAAGTTATTTAATGCATTCATATCAAATCTTTCTCTATTAACTTTATTAGATTAAGGAATATGCATCTGCAAAAATGTGCTTATTAAGAGAAAAATTAAAAGTAGATCATGTCATTAGTAAATGTATACCTTATAATATAGGCCAAAAATGTTATGTTTTTGCAGATTCTCTTTGTCTTGAAAACAAAAATGCAGTAAGCATAAATAAGGAAATGCAAAAGGGAAGCATCTTGCACGTGCAGCATTAATATTCCTATTTTAATTGTCTAACTTTATTTTAGATGATCAGACTGCAAAATACCCATCTGAAACATATGTACAATGAGTCTGGCTTTATTATGAAAGGACTGTGGATTCATATAATTTTTAAAAGGCAAAATATCAATGCTGAATAATACATTTTATCATTGAATAAAGCAACCTAAAGAATTAATAGTCTGAATAAATTATATATATATGTCTTTCCTTCTATCCCCAGTTGATAACATCAAAAAGATAGTTTTCTTCCTTTTGCTGGAAGAGAGAGTAGGGGAACAGCAAAGGAAACCAGGACAGTGGGGCAGAGACCAAGAACAAAGATTCCAAGTTGTAGTCCTGAATATAAAATCAGACTGTCTAGTGTTTAGTGACTTGCTCCCCGAGTTGTCTATTGACACAGCAGTATGGATTGGAGGAAGACCAGGCTTGAAAAATACATGCAGCTGGGTTGGGATCCTCATTTCAGCTCTTGCCATGTGACCTTGGGACCAGCTTTAATTTCTTTGGCCTCAGTTCTCTCATTTTAAAAATGTGGATAGAAATAGTTGCCATCCACAGGTGTGACAACCCCAGGAGATGACATTGGCAAATCCTAACAGTGTTTGGTACGTGGCACATATGCAGTAAGTAGAGCTAATTATTATCTCCAAGGTCCCTTTGAACTATTGTAATTTCTGATTCAGGAACTGGTTGACTGGCATCTGAATTTTGGTTTCCAATGGATAGTTTGCTGATGGCCCTGTGCTACCCTGCCACCCTCAGGTATGTGGCAGCTGTGGAAATAGCAGTGCTCCTAGAAACACAGAACAGGTCATGTTACAGACACAGACATTGTCTTGGTTTAGTTTTGTGCCCAGTGTGGAAGCAGGACACCTCAAAAGTGCTCAAACACTTGGAGCCAGATTTTAATCATCCACCATGACTGAGTGACCTATTTTTTTTTTCCCAAGGCTGCTATAAAATCAGAGATGGAAGCTAGCACTGAATCAAAGCACTGTGGTTCTCTGTCATATATATTTTCTTGGTTTCTATCCAACCTTATTTTAAATATCCCTAGGGATGGGCTTTCATCACTTTTCTTGGAAGATTTTTCTTGTATAATAATTTTTACTGTCAGAAAGTTTTCTCTCCCATTCAGGGTAAATTTTTCTTTCCTTCTCCATACTCTTTTAGTTATCCTGTCCTGAACCTGATTAAATAATTCTTCCTGCCCGTTCAGTATTTCTCCTGTCAGATTTTTGCCGTCAGTTATTAGTCCCCCCTCAACCATTACTTAGCAACCCCAGACATAATCTTTATGTTTAATCATTTCTCATAACTCACTCCTCTATCACCACAATCATTATTCTCTCCTCCCTGAATTAATCCATCTGCTCTTTTGAAGGTAACCTCAGTGTCTTAGATGCATGTTCCTTTGGAAGTAAAACACATAACCTATTGACTTATTTTACATTTTCACTAAAATAATACAATACAATTTGTAAAACAAAACCAAATTAATCTGTTTTAACCGAATGACTATTGTTACTTTTTGTCTTTTCTATTTTTATATTTTGAAGTATTTTAAGTATAAATACTTTATGCTGCTAGTGAATATTTGCACCAGGATTGTGCTATACATCTTTCCTGTGCATTATCCCAATATTCACCACAGCAGTCCTGTCAACTAGCTTTATATCCTCCCCCACCATTTCACAGATGAGGAAACTGAGGGTCTGAGAAATTAAGCCAGTTGCCTTACATTTGGCTCAGGGATCACTCTTAATTATTATACTTTCCCACACATGCTATATTTATCAGGTAGTGTGATAGTCATATTTTAGTTGCAGTATATTGGATAAAATAATAAACTACAGCTGGGCACAGTGGCACACGCCTGTAATCTCAGCAGCACAGAAGGCTGAGGTAGGAGGATCACGAGTTCAAAGACAGCCTCGGCAAAAGTGAGACACTAAACAACTCAGTGAGACCCTGTCGCTAAATAAAATTCAAAATAGGACTGGGGATGTGGCTCACTGGTCAAGTGCCCCTGAGTTCAATCCTTGGTACTTGCCTCCCCCAAAAAACAAATCAGGACTTAACCATTTTTTATTGATGGTTCTTAAGAGCGCTTCCATTTTTTTTTTCATATTATAAACAGTTGTGGAAGGAACACTTTCAAGCAATGAATATCTTAGAGGGTTGTTGTATATTTCTATATGTTGTATATTTCTATGCTTCTATATTTCTTCATTTTAAAAAGTATTTATATCAACAAGTCATAAAAGGATGTGTATTGGGGGATTTGATTAAACTAATTTTTAAAAACTGAGTTCTGACTGGAATATTGTTAACATGAATAAGATTGAACAACAAACAATGAACTGAAGAAATCATCTGCATAAAATTTGACAGGTAAATATTCTCATTCTCAATATGCAAAAGATTTATATAAATAAGTTGAAAAATGATTTTAGGCAGAAATCACCTGGGGGCTTGTTTATTCTCATGTCTGTGTCTGGTCTCTGGTGAATGACTTCCAGGCTGGGTTTAGCTGGGAGGATTGATCAGAGAGTTACATATGGCCCATCCGGTGGCTTGGGTGTCTCTCAGCATGGCAGCTGGGCTCTGAGAGGGAGTATCCTGAGGGGGAGCAAGCATTCCAAAGAAACCAGGTGGGAGCTGCAAGGTTTTTTTTTTTTTTTTAATAACTGAGGCTCAAACATCATATAACATCTCTTCCTGATACTCTTATTAGTCAAAGTAGTCACAATTCTGCTCAGATTCAAGGGAGGAGAATGTAGATCCAACCTCTTGATGGGAAGCATGCCAAACAAATTGCAGGCTTTTTTTTTTTTTTTTTTTTTAACCTGCACAATGCACCAGACCCTAGAATAAAAACACGAGATCCTGTAGTACAGCTATGCACGATCATTCTTCTTCCATCCAAACAGAAATATTTTTTTTCCTCTAAAATGGAAGCTTCAAAATCTATAACTATTAGCGATTTCACTAACCTTTAAGTTTGTGGTAATTTCTTAAACTTTTTCCATCTGCTTTCAAATTTTGCCTGATTTGAGCCGATGAAGTTCTGTGGCTTCTACACTGAGTACTCCCCTTCCTGATGTATACCAATCTATTTTCCCTCTCACCATTAGTAAAGGTATTAGGACTATTTTAATGACAGTATTTTTTTTTCTTAAGAAAGTAGTTCTAGGATCTTAAATTTTTTTCTTTTTTTTTTTGTTATTATCTTAGATACCAGTTCACTGACATCATCAATCTCTCTCAACCTAATTTTAAAAGTCCAAAGATTTGGTTTGCTTCATTATTTTCTCTTCACATTTTATTTTTCTCTTACTTCCCTCAATGCAAACAAACAAAAACATCACTTCACCTCATATTATCTTCTACCACCCTTAAAAGATGTGCAGCTTGATGCTGGGGATGATTTTGAGCAGTGGTTTCTTGTCACAATTACTCTCATTTATTAGGGTGAAATCAGGGAAGGACTTGGGAAACAAATGGAGGTATTGGGGTCCTCTCAGGAGCTTCCTGGCCCTGTGACCCAGGAAGTTCTGTCGTACTCAAAAAGGGAGAGATTTCCTTTTCACACAGATGTTTATTAAGGAGCAAATCATCCTCATCCCCAAGTCACTTCTTATAGTTTTGAAAAGTATCATTCTGGGAGAAACAAAGTGAAATTGCAGTTAACTAAATGCTGGCATCTGTTTAATTGTTTCGAATTTATAATATGTGGCAATTTGTAAAAATTCTCAGCCATGTTATACCATTTATAAATCTCTGTAGCTGTAATCATCATTTAATAATTCATTCACTCATGTGTTTTTTCCAGTAAGCATTTATTAAATACTTTTTAATTCTCCAAACATTAAACTTAGTGGGTTACCAAGACAAAATAATTAACGTATCTTTTTATCTGGAGCTATTTTATACTTAAATATAAAATAAAACTGTTTATGTGGGTTTTTTTTTATGTGCCCCTGACATATATTGAACTCCATACTTAGTGCTTTGATACCAAGAGTAAGATAGTTATATGTAGTTTAACAAGAAAAACAATTCAGCAGGTGATACAAAGTAAGAGATTTATCATGAGGGACTGGCTTACATAATTGTGGGCTCTGATGGGGCAAGTCCAAAAAATCTGTGCGGCATGACATTGTCAGGAAGGCAAGCTAGAACTCCTCAGGCCCTTGACTAATTGAACCAGGCCCTCCCAGATTATCTAGACTATCCTGTGATTAAAGTCAACTGATCCTGACTTGAATCCATCTGCAAAACACCTTCACAGCAACACCACCCTTAGTGCTTGATTGAATATCTGGGGATTATAGCCTCACCAATTTGACATTTAAATCATTTCCTACTTGTCAACTTGGAAACCAGGTACATTTCTTTACACTGTAATTAATCTCCAAGTAAAGAGAATAAAAGTCATACATTTGCTTAACATGATACAACTAGTCTGTGTACAAGGGAAGTTGCACTAACTTCTTACTGGAAGTTGTGAAATCCTGGCTGGAGTTCCCTCTTCTTTCATATCCTATAATATAAGCTTTGTAATAGAAATTTAACTTCATTAACACACCTTTTGTTAGATAGAAAGGGGTTAAAAAGAGAAAAAAAATATGTGGCTAGCATATTTCCAAATGTGTTTATAACAAAACAAGGAAGAAATACTATGACTACAGTTCTTGTTTCTGTAACCAGTTAGATGTCATACTGGAACTTATATCTACTTCTTCAGCTGCATGTTCATGTTCCTTTTGTCCTCGGTAAGCACCTTGAATGCTTGTGGATCTTTACCTTCACTCCTGAAGCCTATGGGCCCTTATTAGCTGCATTTCCGTAGGCTTCAGTGACAGACATAGCAGTACAGCAACACTAGGGTATACCTATGTTCCAAACATGCTCTTTCTTACCTCCAACATACAGTAGCAACCTAACTACTCCGTTGTAATCAGGATTAGTGAGGTACAGAGGATATAATAACAACACACACACCTTTTTAAAAAATGCCTCTTTGAAAATCATGAGGAACCAAAGTGGCTACATAGAAGTCTCAATTTCCAGATTAACAGACTCATTGCTATATCTCCTGGTGGAAGCATTCTTCTCTTCAAAAACCTTCAAAACCTCTAGACAACCAGAATCTAAAATTGTGCTGA